CATCCCTGCTTCTCATTCATCTGGCTAATCACTTGCTGTTCTGCTGGGTGTAAATTTCCTTTCAAATCCTGGCAATACTGATTCTTTTCTTTTGCTTGCTACTTAATTACCTTTTTTCTGAACCTGCTGGTAGAGTTGTGAAGAGAATTTAGGAGTAAAGTTAGGTTCTGTAGGTTCCAGTAGGTGCAAGTCTTTGTGTTCCTGTGGTTTAGTTTAGGTCAGGTCTGTGTTAGGTTGGTTCCTACACTGTGTTGAGTAGCCAGCTGTCCTTACTTAAAAGGCCAGCGTCATTGGCTAGTTACTGGCTGAACTGTAGTTAACAGTTCTAGGAATGTCTGGTTAATATAACTAGTAATGGGCTAGCTAATGACTTTGTAGCTGAAGTGGCTCTTTCCATTATTAATGGCTGTGTTTTCTAATTATTTATAGCTCACGTTGACGCCAGCCCAGCAACAGTTATTGCTACAACAGGCGCAGGCACAGTTGCTGGCGGCTGCAGTGCAGCATTCAGCCAGTCAGCAGCACAGCGCTGCTGGTGCCACCATCTCGGCCTCTGCTGCAACGCCGATGACGCAGATCCCTCTATCTCAGCCAATACAGATTGCACAGGTGAGCCTTGAGGCTTGAAAGGGTGGAAAATAAAGAGGTTTGACTAATTACATCATTCAAATAATATTTTAATTCCTTATTCAGTGAGTTTCTAGAGTCCTTGAGTACTGTTAGTCTTTCCTCACGCATCCTTAGCTGATGAGGTTGAAGTTGATAGTTTTAGCAAAGAATGCGTGCCAGCTGCTCATCAGTTGCACTGGGCTTCTGAGTTTGTTGCAGAATCTGACCAGATGCTGTCTTTTCTGAATTTTTCTTCTTGTAGTTAGCTTGAGAAAGGACAAAAAAAGGCTATAGAAAGGTGCTCATAGAAATGACAGTTGTCGAGACCTGTATGGATGGGAAGGGATACCTACGTATCACAAAGGGTGCTTGTTAGACCCAAAGAGCAAAATGATAGAGCTGAAGTAAGGCAGGTTGACTTGACACATTTGTGTGTTATTTTGGCTTGGTGCTTAATGCTCAAACTTCAGTGAAAAAAATGGGCACTCTTGTGTGTCTAGAGAAAAACTTGCCAGAATGAGTCTGGTGTAGAAATCTGTTCAGTTTTATAGTCTGCTGCTAAAGACCCATTAATTCTTAATTCTGAAGAATGGCTTGCCAAGGAAGTTCTGCTTACCAGGAGCAGCAAAGATCCTCCTGGGTCTTCCAGGATTGCCTTAATTCAGCGTGAAGAACACAGCGCCATTGACTCTATGCTTAGCGTGTATGTAGTGTGGAAACCCCTAAGACTTCTGGACAAGGGTAACCGAATGTACAGCACAGGCATCTTGAGTACTACCAGTAGGTGATTGTGTTGCTGACACTGAGGTGCATGTCTCCATAGATAAAGGTTCTCAGTAGGTAATATTTCAGTTTGATTAGTCTAGCTGTGCAAAATATGTTGTGTATGTAATCTCCAAAGTTGCTGCTGCTTACAGTGAGCAGGTTCTTTTAAGGCTGTCTGACACTTTCTGTTCAGACTATTTTCACTTGCCTTCAAAGTAGGATGAAGTGTCTAAAAAGTGAGGATGAGGACTGATTAAGTAAAAGAGTGGAAATGTTGCAATTATCTGTGAAGTCCATTGGTGAGATGTGCTATTCCTTTGTGTGCTAGTTCACTATCTGAATAACAGCATGGTTCTGCTGTCAGATTTTTTTGTTAGCTGAAGTGGCAGACTTCTGTGGTGTTGGCCTGAAAGTTCTGACCTGTCTGGCCATCCTTACAGAGGCCAGAGTGATGCCATCCCACATTAAAAGGCCAGTACTGATGTTGCCCACAGATCCCTCACACTGAGCCTCTTGGTGCTCTGTGATGAGCCATGTGACCAGATACTGATAGTTCTTTTAGCAAAGGATCCCTCTTCACTGTCATAATCTGGAGATTACTCAAGGATGTAACGTTTAAGAAAACTCATAACTCCCAAGACCATTTCTTAAATTTTGTTAAGCCTTTGTCTATAGCAAATAATACAGACAGATTTCAAGTAAAGAATAGGAAATATCCTTGTCAGGGAAGTTGATGATTAGCTTCTAACATCTCTCCATGCATCTGTCACAGAGTTCCCATTTGGTATTATGCAAGTTTTTTCACCTAAGTGATCCACAGGTGTGTGCCTCTTGTCTTCCAGGTGTTCAGTTTAAGGTAGCAAGGTCTGCTTTTTGGAAGTGCCAAGCATTAAAATTTCATATTAATAAAATCTGTACCTTGAACTTTCTGGCTTTACGTTTGTCAAATATGCCTCCAAATTAGTGGATACTTCTGAAGGCATTGTTGTGCACGTGTGAGATGTTTCTAATCCCACTCTTCCACTTCAGTGGAATGTTATGAAAACATGTGAAGTATTTCCAGTTATTAATTTAGCACTGGATTTTTCTCCAGAACTTAGAAAATCTTCAGAGAAGTGTTTGAGAAGAGTTGAAAAGATCAGGCATGTGCCGTCAAATAGGAGCTTCTGAAGTGAGCATTGTTTGGTTTGTCCGTGTGAATGAGCTAAAGGCTCTGTGAAAAATAACGTGATCATGTAATTGCCACCATATAATGTGTCTTGGTGGCACAAGGGGAACAAATTAAAGTTTCAAGTGTTTTCTGGCATTCCTAGTAACTTAAATATTTGACTTGACAATTAATTTCTCTTAGGATAGGTAATTTTGATAAATAAGTGTAGCTTGTTTGTTTGAATCTTGTTAGCTGCTTCTTAGGATGAAAATGCAGGACATAATTTGTGCAGATGTTGAATATAATTTGAGATGCTTTATGGAAAACTTCTCCTGTCCGGGTTTGTAGGTGGATAACACTATGCTTTTTGATCCATCTTGACAATGGTGCTCAGCTTTGTTTGCTTTGCTATGGTAAACATATAGCTGAATGTTTGTTTTAAGTGATGACTTTTGAATAATTGATTAACTGACAGGTCTCTGCAGCAGGGGGATTACCATATTTATTTTAATTAACTAATTGCACAAGCATGACTTCTTTAATGTGCACTGCAGTTAGTGTAAGGTATTTGCTGCAGCAGTCTGGTAAGATGTTAGTGCTGCTACTGGGCTGATGCTAAATTGTCACTGAACAGTTGTACTAAATTTAGGAGTTTTAGTAAACTTTACTTGTTTTCTGGATCCGTGATCAGTGTTTATATGATTTAAGCCTCAAAATGACAGAGGTGCTTAAGTTTGTACTGAAGTTGTAACTAGAGATAACAGCATTGAATTTAGAACTTTAGATGATTAAAAAAAAAAAACCACAAACATTAACTTCCTCATGTCAAGACGTAGCACTTTTCTTGTCAGATTATCCTGCTGAGGTAGGAGTTGTATTGTTTTGATCTTTCTAAATTGTTAGGCTGCACCAGAAGACATGCATACTTACCCAAAAGTTTTTCCATCACTTTCTATGTCCTTGTGCTAGTATACAGATTTTACCGTTGAGAAAACAAAGATCAGTATGGGATAACAGTGTCAGGAGTTGTTCGCATGGTTGCTATTGGGAGATTTATTGTAGTGCTATAATTAACTAAATAATAAAACTTTCCCAAGGTAGAAATAAAGTTGGATTTCAAATGAATTTGAGGGGCTTATAGGGCTATTTAAGAGTGATTAGCCTTGGAGGTACAATTTCCATTCTGCATTACAGAATTATATTTCTGTATTTAAACAAGACTCAGTCAAGATAGCATTTACCAAGGCAGATGCACAGAATAAGATTGCTTGTACCAGTTATCCCTGAGGCCTCAATTTAAAAACAGTTTTCTCGTATTAAAGTGTAAGAGCCTGATGATAAGAGCTGCCATGTCTTAGCTAGGTACCCTGTGTTATGAATACTTCTTAGATCTTACGGATACACTGCAACTGTTTCTTTGTATTCTTTCTTGTATGTAACTCCATCTCCTGTGGTGCTTCTTCAAATCATCTGAGATCTACTGGTCATCTGCGGGGGCTGGGGAGGAGGGGTTAATTCTTTTACTTTTGGTGGGGGAGGTCCTCAGTCTATCTGTTTTTCTGTCCATAGTTTTTCCTTCAAAAATTTCTTCCCAACTTTTCCTTTTATGTTTCTACGTTTTTTTCTTATTCACCTCTATTTTCATCTTTCAGCCTCTCCTCATTTCTTTTTCTTCCACCCAGCATTCACAGCTTTAGTCAGCTTGCCCCTACTCTATTTCTGTTTCTTCCTCTGCATCTAGTACCCACATCCAATTCAGTAGGAGCCCCTCTGTGCTGGAGGATCTGCTCAATCTGCAAAGGTAACCAGTAGAGCATTGAAAATCAGTAAATAAATGAGTGGAGGTCCATGTTGTATTGGGCTCAAGAAGTAAGAGATTTTAGTAGCAGTTCTGGCCAATGTAACTTTATGATATGAAGTCAGAAGAAACATGGAGTTCCTGAGAAAAACTGGCCTCAGTTTCATAGGAATGGCTGCAGTACTTCTCAGGTTTTCTGAAAGCAAACAGTGCTATCAACTTTAAAACACTATTGCACTGGGGGGCACTTTTAAAAAATGTAACCATTCTCTTGTAAAATGGAAGTTTCCTTTTCTTAAAGAGCATTGCTTGGTCAATCTATCTGATGTCTGCCATATTATTGCACTGCATGCTTTTGACTCAACAGGACCAAGTTGCCTAAGTGATTGATGGCCAGTGTCTTTGTAATGCAGGTTAAGTAGTGGTTTTCCTATAATTGCATGTCTGTGGTCTCATAAATCAATGGACTTTTTTTTTTTTTTCCTCATGAGTCTTTCTTTCCACCCACTGACACTCCCTACTCCTCTTTCCCAGGAGATTGTTGCAACTTTTAGTTTAACAGTTTTAAAATTATGTAAGGTCATAGACAGATAAATATATTCTGCAAATAGTTGTACTGTGTAAATAAAAAGTTATTCTTGTCAGTCAGTCTTGACTTGCCATCACCATCTCCATTGCTGGCAGTTAACAGCCTTTCGCATCTGCTGGCTGAGCAGCTTGTGCGAGTGCTCAGTAACCTGCACCAGTCAAAATGCATAGGGACTACTTTATGGGCCTTAAGAAACAGATCTTTGTTAGTCTGGCTCACTCTGACTCAAGTATGTTAGAAGGATGTTAAAAGGAGCAGCTCCATTCAAGCAACCAGACTGATCACTGGTTTAGGAGTGAACTGGCATTGTTAACATCTTCTGATACAGCTGGACCCAGAAGAGGGTGTCTGTCTGCAAACAGGTCCCCTGGTATCCGAGTCACTTATCTGAAATAGAGTTTTGGGAGGCTTTTTGCTTGGTTGGTTTGGTTTGTTTAGTGGAAGGTTGTAAGTGTGGGAAATATTTCAGGCTTTTATCCACCTTCTTGGCGGGTATTTTGAAACAGCTTCTTCTCAGAAACATGGAAAGATTCTACATATGTGTATAGATGGTTTTCATAGATTACCTCTGTTATGTTGGCTGGCTTCACATTGTGGTTCAATTTTCAAGTTTCAGTTACTCTTGCTATTGTCCTGTTTGGAGAGACAGAAAGGGTAGTTGGAGGGGGAATGTTTTTAAGCAGTTCTCTTATGTTTTTATTTTCCAGCTAAACATCAAGCTGAAGCATTTTTCTTGATGATTCAGTTTCTCAGACTAGCATTTATGTTGAGACAAGTCAGTTACAGAAAATTAATAGCTCTGAATGGTTTAAATACATAAAGGTAGGGTTCTACAGTAGTGGAATGTTTGGGATTATTCCTTTTAACCTTAATTATAGCCATGTCTGCTAAGCTTGTTGTAATTTCTTTCAGAGCAAATCAAATACATTTGTTTACTTATTTGAGTTAGCTACTTCCTGAAATTTGACCTGAACAACCGGAGTGCAAACTGGGAATCTAACTTTTTGCTTTCCTGTTGCTGATTACAATGATAATTGCAGATTGTTATAAACAAAAATAGCTCCCAGCTAATATGCTTGATTTGTCAATAATGAATTTTGTAGCAGAGTTGCATCCTCAAAAAATAAGTCTGAGAAATCCAGGTGCTGATAAATCTAAAGTATTTGAAAACTTATGCATTTGGGGGAGAGGGATATTGATTTTTATCTTTTTAAAAGCAGAAAAGTGCTGGAAATATTTTGGTGGGTTATTTAGCAAACAATTTCTGTTTGGTTTTATGAAGGACAGTGAAATGCAAATTGCCAACCTAAAGGTTATTCAGTAGCAGGACTGCTGTGTTTGAAATCCACTTTTATTCCACTTTTATCTCCAGATGTTAGAATGTAACTGGTTGATAGGAAATCTAGTTACATTGGGAGTCATGGCTGACTTAAATGTCTAACACACAGCTCTTTCTTTCCCTTTTGTCTTTGTCTCCCCCCCCTTTTTTTCCCCTTCCCCTGTTTCCTTAAGGATTTGCAGCACTTGCAGCAGCTTCAGCAGCAGAATCTCAACCTGCAACAGTTTGTGTTGGTGCATCCAACAACCAACTTGCAGCCAGCACAGTTCATCATCTCACAAACACCGCAGGGGCAGCAGGGTAAGTGCTCCTTGCCAGAAAAGAAAATAATACATAGCTTTTCAGAGGAGAAGGTGCAACTGAGGTGGTTCATACACCTTCACTAACTGTTGATATTCTGCAGGAGAAATCATGCTGTTGCAATTAGGAGACTCTAAACAGGTTGTCCCTTTCTGGGTGTCAGACCTCAGCCTTGTCAACGTTTGTGTAGCTCACTTCTCAAGGAGGACCAATCCAGAGATCATGCCATGGGAACATCTGTTAACAACAAGGCCTCTTGGGAAATACTGCAGCATCTGAATTTCTGAGTCAGGCTCTCAAGAAGGAAGCCTACTGGGAAGAACTTGGAGAAGAGAACTCTCCAGAACTCAAAGGCAGAATCCTAGGAGGTGGAGGCCTGGAGGGCATGTGGGCTGTCTGGATTAGGTAGATGCTAAAGGGGCTACAAAATTCTAAGACTGTAAAAGATTATAAAATCAAGAGTCCTTGTGGCAGACTAGAAAAGTCCTTAAACCTAAAGAGGATGTAGTGAATTTTGTCATAAAATGAAATAATACTTACACATTGGAAAAAGAGCTAGAATGCTTGCTTTTGTATAACAACTCTTCGAAGTAAGGTTTTGGCAATATACTGGGTGTGGCTTACCATGGTAAAGGCAAACCAAGGCAGTGGTAGGTGGTAGTGTGCCAGACCACTTAAGATGTTGTAAAGGAACTTTTCTCTAAGAACTAGTGTGTTCAAGTTGCAATGTGTCACAGTACAGATTGCACCCCATTTGTTGATGCCCACAGAAAACTGTATTTGGCCATGGCCTCTTATGCTGATATACTCCAGTGGTCTTTTTCTCCCTCTTTCTCTTCTTCATGAACTCTGCTCAGTTGTTCAGGTCTGGTAATCCAAAGATTCTTGCTCAGAAGGCAAATCCTGTTACGCTTGAAGAGTCCTCCAGAGCCTGACTGTCCTGTAAAGCAGCTCTTTGCACCTAATTTTCTTCCTTTCCTTTCAATTTTTTCATGCATCATTCCTTCTTACGTGCTATGACTTGGATAGAACTGGATTTCCATTATGCTGAAGCTCTCTCACTGTCTGAATGTTCTCACATTTGAATAAACAGTTAGTGAAAATTAACTTTCTTTCAATAGGACTTGACTTAGGAGAGCTTTTATACCACCACTGGTACAAAATGGCTAAAAGACTATTCATGGAGGCATTTAGTGATGTACTAGTTTCTTAGAATGAAGCAGAACTTACAAGCTTATAATGTATTTTTCTAGAAGAAATTAAACCTCACCAAAACTAAGTTCAAGGATTCTTTAAAATAGTCTTTTTTTTTTTTTTTTTAAATAAATTCCTTTAAGGAAAATGGCAAACACAAAAGCATTGTTTTGAAAAAACTCACTGGTATTAATGTCTGCCTGCATATTTCAGCTAACTTCTGCCGGTTTTCTAAAATATCTCTGAAGATGCTTTACAAAGAAGGAAGCTAAGAGAAGCAAATTATATTTGTATCTCAAAATGAGTTGTTTGCATTATAGAAAGGAAGGAAGGCTTTTTGTTTGTTTAAAATCTCCTGAAGTAGAAGAACTACCAGAAGCGGTTTTCATAGTACCTTTTCCAGGGACCATCTCTGAAAATGATTTCTTCACTGCAATTTAAGACCTGCATATTGCTGTCATCAGTGACACAGTATGTGTAGAAACACCATGTTTTACTGGTAATGTGCAGCCTGGACAACTGAATAGCTCAAAAATGTAGGAAGATTTATATTCTGTATTCTGACCATAGGCCATAAATGCGTGACAACCTTCCAAACTGAAATGCTTGAATGGATCTAATTTTCTTCATGAGCACTCAATGATAAAGCAACATGTATGTCATAATACCCCTTATCTCACTTTTTGGTATGGCTTTTTGCAGTATTTCATGGTTATTGTTAGAACATCTCAAACAGTATGTTATCATTTATGAGAAAGATTGAGAAATAGTGTATTTTTATTTTATTTGCTGTTGCAGCTGACTTTTCAATGTTGTTCTTGTCCTATTCCTCCATTAGTCAACTTCATAATAAATATTCTGAAGAAACTAGCATAGAGTTTTCTTTAAAACCAACAGTGTTCAGATTTTTCTGGATGCCTCACTGGTATTTTTGAATATATTATCTATTCTGGAAGAAATCTGCTGCTTTAGAGACTACACTACATATTTTGCACAGGACATGTAGTCATGTCCATGAGAAACATTGTTTTTAATACAAGAGAATAGTTTTGAGGGAAATAAGTGAAGAATAGTATCTCTAAGAAAGACCGTAGAGGACATGTAAACATTTGGTAGGAAAAAGCTTCTTTCACTTGAAGAGGTGATATGGTGCAGAGTAATGCAATCATCAGCAATCAAATTTAAATTCTTGGAAGGGGTTGAATGTCATGGCTTAGATCCATCATCTGAAAAATTTTAGAAAATTCAATACCTAAATATTAATCAACAATGAGGATGTTATTCTGCTGTCTTTCTTCAACACACAATATAGATCATAGCAGCAAATGTGAAATTCTCCCCATAAATCCACTGCCATAAGTCTAATGTAGTCATCTTCCTTTTCCACATGATTTCTGGTTACTCAGTGTCTTACATGACAAATTGTGAAGTTCCTGGTTTTCACGGCTTGTAATAGATAACATCATAACTGAAGGGATTGTTTCAAGCCTCAGCAGATATGCAGAAGATTGAATAGAAACAGAATTTTGGAACAATTTCTTATTTGGAGCAACTATTGTTCCCATGTTATTCTTAAAGTCACAGGCAGGAATGTAGCACCTTGTACAGTCTTTATTCCTCTTCTAGCTGTTCTATTAAGTAATAGATCTGTCTCTAGAATAATCAATTCAACATTCTTTACTGCAATTATAACTGCTGCTTAAAAATATATTACCCTCATCAGGTGAACATTCTCCTTTCTACTCGGAAGATATTGCCAATAAAAATCATATCAGTAAAAATCTGAATGGAGAGGGGAAATGGTGATGCATTTCATTTAAATTAATCTTGCAAACCTAAGTTGTTAAGATCTGAGAAAAGACTGCATCATTGCCAAGGGGAGAGAGCGGGTTTAGAAAGAGTACTTGTAAAGAAAGTATCCAGAAAGGCAAATGTAGAAGACAAACTACTAAATAGCTTTAAACATTGAAACTGGGACTGCTATTATCGAGTTATTGCTGTTTATTATTAAAGACCTTGTTTAGGATTTCATTTTTTTAATTGTAAAAATACCTGGAATGATGGTAGGAAGCCAAATCCAGTCCTGTTCTCTTGCATACTTGTCCTGTAGACTTTGAGACTTCACTTGTATCATTAAATAAAAAACCAAACACATTTTTTTAATGAGATAATGAATGTTAAATGGTGCTACCTACCCTGCTGGCCTCTGGTACCATAAATCAGAGTGCAGCTCCCTGCACTGGGTGCTGGAAGACACCTAAAGTCAGGCTGAGGGAGGTATGGTTGTTTAGCTGGGAGAAGAGAAGGCTCCGGGAAGACCTTATAGTGGCCTTCCAGTAGTTAAAGGGGGCCTACAGGAGAGATGGGGAGGCACTCTTTCTTAGAGAGTACAGCAACAGGATGAGGGGTAACAGTTTTAAGCTGAAATAGGTTAGATTTAGATTAGATATGAAGAAGAAATTTTTTCCTGTAAAGGGTGGTGAGGCACTGGAACAGGTTGCCCAGAGAAGTTGCAGATGCCCCATCCCTGGAGGTGTTCAAGGCCAGGCTGGATGAGCCTTTGAGCAACCTGGTCTAGTGGGAGGTGTCCCTGCCTATGGCGAGGATGGGGGTTGGAACTGGATGATCTTTAAGGTCCCTTCCAACCCAAATCATTCCATGATTTTATGAAATTCCCCATGTTTGTTCTTGGATGCATCCAATTTGTAAGCCGCCTTCTCAGCACAAATCCAAAACAGCCTCACATTATCTACTATGAAGCAAAATTAACTCTGTCTCGGCTGAAACCAGGACATGGACACTCATCTCATTTGAGACTGTGCACCTGCACTGCCCTTACAGGACTCCTCCTCATTTTTTTCATAATATTCTATGTGAACAAGGTCACAGTGCTTTGGTCCCCTCAATATGGCAATGAGGAAACCCAGCTTTTCATTGTCAAGAGACTCTTAATGACAGCATATTTGCTGATGCAGCAGTTGAATAAAATGTAGCTGACTCAAACTCATTCCCCAAATAAGAAGGGAGAGCTTGCAGTGGAATGAGGAAGAACTCGAAGAAGTGTTTTAAATTGTGACTTTTTCCCCTGTGCTGCAAACACCCATTACCAAGATATGAGTTAAATGCTTTTTACTGTCCCCTTTGAAATCAAGTCTTTGCTTCTAACTATCTGAACAGCATCAATGGGTAAAAATGCTGTCTTACATTGAAGTAGTGTGGTAGCAGCTGTGCATGGATCACATGGATACTCTTCAAACCTGCAGTTCACCAACTTCAGCATATTTGTGTCATGTTCTTGAACTGATCTTAAAGAGTACCTGGATACTGCAAAAGGTTCAGGAGCATGCAGCAGTTTGACATCTTAGTGTAAGAGATTTGTAGGAAGGTATAGGTTAGTATTCTCCTGTGTTGGGTCCCATTATAATTCCAACTGCGAGTCCCCATTTTGGAAGATCTGGATTTGTTAAAATGAGGTACACCAACATGTCCAGAAGTTTCTTTGCGTCAACAGTGATCAGGAAAGTTGATAAAAAGGCACTGTATGTAATATGTGCGATGATACCCTCCTTCCTCCCTTTCAGTTGTTTCCAGTTAATCGAATTATGATATTGTCATGGCTTTGTTTTACAAGCAAATTCCCAGGATATGTCTGTGAGAAGATGAACAGCTTTGACAGAGAAGAAGCAGTCAAGTTCTTAGTTGAAAAAATTCACTGTTTTGGGAGATCAGTTAGGGATGAATTATGTATTATGCTTCTGGGCCAACTTTTAAAAAATTGTGCTGAAAAAATATACACTTGAATGTTTGTTTTATCTCCTGTTTAATTTTAGACAGTAACAACTGAACCTGAGATCAGTCCTTGAGGACTGTTGGCTGGCAGGAAGAATTTTTTGGCTTGGGCCATTATTCATGCTACTTAATAGACATTACCAGGAAATGTCCTGGGTGATGGCAGAAGCATATACTTTAACTATTAAAAAAATACCTTGAAGCATCATACTTTTGCATAAATTCTTGTCTATCTCCATGCTGCCGTTCCTTGGGAGCATCATGGAAGTGATTTGTATGCCATATATCATGCAATGATACCACTGAGCTCTTAAAACCCAAAGCAGGGGGCTAGAAATACTACCCTGGTAAAGTTAAGTATGTGAGTACAATATTAGTTTGTATAGATTAAAAAAAAATCATGTAGGTTGGAAGGAACCTCTAGAGGTCATGGAGTATTGCTCAAAGCAGGTCCAGCTGAGCAGGGTGCTCAGCACCTTGGCCAGTTGAGTTTTGAACATCTCCAAGGATGGAAATGCTGCAGCCTCTTCAAGTACCTGCCCCAATAGTTGACCACTCTCATAGCAACAAAAAAAAAGAGCTTCCTTATATCTAGTCAGAGTTTTTTCCATGTTCCAGCTTACATCTGTTGCATCTCGTTGTGCACCCTAAAGAAAAGTCCATTTCTTTCTTTGAAAGCAGCAGTAGGATCTCACCTTAGTCTGCTCATAAGGCTGAGCAACCCAGCCCACTGTTCCTTGTATGGGTGTTCTAGCCTGTTAACCACCCTGGTGGGCCTTGAATGTACAAAAGCCAGGATGTCATTGTGTCCTGTACTAGGAAGCCCGAAGCTGGACACAGTATTCCGGGTGTGGTCTCATAAGTGCCAAATGGGGGGAAGAGTCACGACCCTTGACCTGCTGGCTGCACTCTTGCAAATACAGCCCAGGATGTGGTTGGCTGTTTTCACTGTAAGGGCGTGCTGCTGGCTCAGGTTCATCTTATTGTCCTCCAGGACCCACAGGTCTTTTTTCTGTGAATCTGCTTTCTAGCCAGCCACTGCCTACCCGGTATTGCTGCACAGGGTTATTCCAGCCCCCATGCAGGACACTGCATCTTCCTGCATTGATCTTTATGAAGTTCCATTTGTCCAGCCTGCCTAGACCCTGACTTCTGGCCTATTGACCACTCTCCCTGTATTTGGTGTTGTCCACAAACTTGCTGACAATGTATTTTGTTCCATCAGCCTTATTGGTAATAAAGATGTTAAACCGTATTGATGTTAGTGGGAGTCCCTGAGGAAACAGTGAAGTTTGAAACACCAATGTCTCAGCAGTTGCCTAAAAGGCATAGTTTTGGATTTACAGTGTATTTAAAAGTCTGTGCTATGTGCCCTATAAGTTAAGTCACTGAAGTTATCTGGGACCAAAGTGGGGACCAGTAGTTTTTTCTAATAAAAAAACTAAAGGTGAAGCTTAGACTAGTACAAGTCATCTGAAAAGAGCAGAACTGCAGCTGCCCACTCATGGAAGCCAACAAGAGTCCAAAGTGTGTGCATGGTAACTGTCTGAAAAGACAGTAAATCAGTGTAAGAGATGCATACTTTGCCAGAGCAGCTCAGCAGCTTTCCCCATCCCCTGATCGTTATTTCAGTCAGCTGCAGATTGAGCTAACTTGTTCTTTCTCCAGTTTCTGCCCGAGACACCATGTGTCAGTGTTTCTGAAATAGGATAAAATGATGTAGAAACTGAGTAGATGAAACAAGTTCAGAATATTTTATACTGTCCTTCAGTGATAATTACTTCAGAACATATGAGTGAGAATAAAATAAGGAAGAGTGTAGTCATCTTGTACTCTTCAGCAAAAGTGTTATTGCCAGAAAAACATCCTCTAGGATTTCTTTGAGGACAAAAAAAAAAAAATCACAAAAGGACAGTCCTAATTACTCTGATTACAGTCATAAGATTAGTCAGTAACTTGTGGTCAGCAGTGTTACCAGTGGACTAGAAGTCATATGTAGTCACTATCAGCTACCTATTTTTTGTTCCATTGTTGATCAGCTACTCTATAGTGTTGGTGTGATGGCTTTGCCCCTTTGTATTTCAAGTTGTCAGTTAAAATTCACTGTCACTAAATGAAGGTCAAAACCTCTTCGCTTAGAAGTGACTGTTTAGTAATTAATATTTAGATTTGTGCAGCTGAAATAATCTTTCAAGTAAACAAATATTTGTATTGTAAAAAGCACTGTGTAGCTGTAGTAAGTAGCTGTCTTGGAAGTTCCATAAGCTGATCCATTCCCTCTCTGTGGCTTTTCAAAGACACAGCTGGAACATGTTGATTATGTGGTGCAAAGTGAATTTACATAGTTGTCTATGCTATGCTATTATGTTGCATAAGCAGCTGGTTTTGTTCTGTAGGTTTTGAGCATTTTGATAGCAACACATTCTATTTAAAATACATATTCAATGCTTTGTGGGGGGGAAAAAAAGTAACAGTAATATCACTGTCAGAAGACAATTCTTCTGTAGTTGTTTATCTCTCATTAAGGATACATTTTCTCCTTCCTACCTATGGTAGTCCCTCTTTTCATGTCTCCTATGGTCTTAACCTCACATAAAACATCCAGTTTCTCACTCAATATTTATGAAGTCCTAAATTCCTCTGTCCCCTACCTGTATTCTGATAAGAGGTAGCTGGTCATGAGTGGTGTGCCCTGATTGATCAGCTGGCTGATGAGCCACAACAGACCATACCAAACTCAAATTATAGCACTGAGGTGGTACTTACTTGGTGTTCTGTTCTCTGAGTGGCCATAATGTCTATCTGTTGTTGTTGTGCCATTGTTCCCCTCCGGTTTTAGGAATTTAGTGTATTGAAGATGCTTATTAAGCGTAGGTTTAATTAGTCAGGTTCTTAAATTACTATAGGGGAGATAGATAGACATAGCCAGGAGTTATCTAAAGAATAACAGTAATATTTTTCACAATAAAATTGAGGGAGTTGACTAACTGTGGTTATATTCTTGTAAGACTTAAGTCTTAAAAAGTTATCAATTTTAGAATTAGAAATGCAAAAAAAAAATCAGATAGGTTCTAGTTAAAATGTATAGACACAAGTGTATATCTCAGTTTCCTGAGAGATTTAATAAACCGTACAAATAGCAAACTGTAAGAGAATTTATTTTTAGAATTACAGCATATTGTATATATTGGCTGCATCAGTCATAGATGTTCTTTAACGTTGTCAGCTTTTTATAATAGCAGGGGTTTTCATATATTCAGTATGATGTTTATTCTATTTGTGCAATTTAAACAAAGTTCAGTATCTTGCCTGATTACTTCTTTATTTCAACCAGGAGGTTATCTAGGCTTGTTTTGTCTTCTGGTGCTTGTCTGCTTAAGTTTGCCTGAGAAAGTTGCCTTCTTATTAGGCAGCTGGCATGGGGTGATATGGAGAGGAAGAAGGGTGATCAGGGAGCCAGATTTGTGGTTTTGATTAGTATTCACTTGTTGGATTTGAACTGGTTAGTGTTCAGTTGTTTATTTTTATATGGCTTCCTAATTCTTGGTCAGCTGTTGGTTACAGGAAGAAGTTTACCCAAAATCTGCAAGCTGAAAGGGACAATAAATGATCCCGCACCTAGAATTGGGATAACCTAGATCATTACAAACTCTTTCTGCAGAGGAGACTAGTACAGACTTCTCTCTTTTACACCACTGTCACCACATCTACTTCAGGAAAATGCAAGGGGATTTTGGACTGAAAAGTACAAAGTCTGAAGATACCTATGCAGGGATGAAAGGAAGGCTTGCGTCTCAAAATTTTTTGTAACTTTCATTTTTTGGCAAGAGCCTTGTTTCACCTCATTTTATGTTTTAGTATTTTAAATGACAAACCGAACACACCTTTTTCTCTCCAGGTCTCCTGCAAGCGCAAAATCTCTTAACGCAACTACCTCAGCAAAGCCAAGCCAACCTCCTGCAGTCTCAGCCAAGCATCACCCTTGCCTCGCAGGTCAGGCTTATTTCTACAGTTCATTAATTGCTTTGAGGGGATTTGAACTATTGCAAGTGAATGGACCCTTTGTTTTGGTTACCAGAGTAGCTGCTGTAGCTACAGTAGTGAGTTTGTCTTTCTAGATAGATTCAGTGTAGAGCTGAAATATCAGTAACTTCACTTTTGTAGTTTCTACACTAATGTTCCTCATTTTATGCATTTAACGTTCTAAATTTTTATATTTAGCTGAAAATTTCCATGATTGATATGTTGACATAGTGGCAGTAGAACATAATTTGATTTCTTGTAAGGCTTTCTTGGACAATCAGAGGAGCAAGATATGGGCTACCTAAAAGGCTCAAAAAGAGGATTACTGACAAGTGTCTTTTTTTCTAAAGGTTGCAGTGGTAATCTGTCTTTATTGTAGCCTAGTTGTTTTTCTATTATTGCTAAGTTATGGCCAGTCTTATTGGTTACCTTCTGTGAAAGTGCAGAGATTGTTAGAAATGCATTAAAATACTCTTTTAGATGTATGTTAAAATATTAAAGCTCTATGGTTAAGCTTTCAGACTCTAAGAAAAGCAATTTTAAGGTTGCATGTGCCTGCAAATTTGATTTTGCTTCGCTCTGGGTTTTACTGTGCAGTTTAGTTATATGACTGCATGTTGTTTCTCAAATACCATGTAATATCATACAGTATGTTCCTGCCAACTTGGTTACATATAAGAATTTATTAATCTGTAATAAGATGCCTGAGTCTATCAGAGTCTTAGAAACCTACATTTTCTAGTATACCACCTATACTATTTTTCATGCACCATGTGGAAAATGGAATTTGTCTCACCTCTGTAGTTCATGCCTCAGTTAGCGGCATGACTCCCTACTAAAGTTTATATCTGGATTTTAAAAAAGTATCAAAACTAGACAGAAATAAATTATATAAAGGGGGTGAAGTCAGTAAAGACATATTGCAGTAATTACCCACTATGTTTAACGTAAATTAAAAAATATTAAAAACCTTTGCAGTGTGACACATATATTTGCAATCCTAGAAAGATCATACAAGATCATGTTATTTCTCCAGTAATGGAATTATAGATCCTGATCTCCCTCTACCATCTGCTGTGCACTGCAAAGTACTGTGCTAACCCAAGAAAAAAACAACATAAGGAGCTACATAAAGACTCAGCTATATGTAGGCCATTTCTTTTAGAACAGCCCTGTCTGGATCTTTGCATAGACTCTGCATAGTACTGCAGTTTTGCAGAGACTTGAGGCTGTTCTTATCTGCCCTAAAGGAGTCCGTAGTTTCAGAACTGGATGTAGGACATGAAAGCATGAAGTCACCTTTACTTAAGAGCCTCAGCTGAATCAAATACAATTTAACTAGAGTAAACAATTTGTCTCTGCATCTTAGTTCATCTGTGGCATCTAAGAAGGTAGAGTTATGCACTCAAAACATGTTTCCAATGTTCTTGTTGCACATAAAGCCTGAACTGTGCAATGCTAGATCTTAATATACCTGTGAATATTTTCTGTGGTGCTCAGGGTTTTTCAGGTTCTAATTGTTGCTGCATAGCAAAATGCTTGCCAATGTTCAGGAATAGCGAACCTTATGTGGACTTCCTGGAAAATTAGCCTTTTATATAGAAGAAAAATGTGACTTAAAAGGAATTATTTTCTGCACATTGCCTTTGCTTAATTTCTTGTATTCATTCATTCTTACTGTTGCAAGTATCAACAGAAGGGTTAGAGGGGGATCTATTTTTTCCTTACTGGAAGAGTTGAGTCAGTCACAGGAGATGGCATTAGAGGAAACCTGCATGCTTGCTGCCCCTCTATATGCTCACTATTCCAAGATTAAATAGGAGACTTGAATCTTTTGGGCTGATGACAATCTGCCACCTCACAGAAGCAGTAAATTCAATTTTAAAATGATAAAAAGGGGATGAATGCCAAGCTGTCTGTAAATGATAGAACTATATCAAGTAAGAGTGTTCAGCTTTTCTTTGAGCAGCTTCTGTAGCAAGCAAAAGTTGTTGGTTATCTGCTGCATTGAACATGTCTTACTTCTCTTTAATTGGTTCTGACAGAGCCTTTAAAAGGCTTCCATACTAGTACAGTTTTCTGCATTGTGATTGCTTGTTCTTGAGAGGAATGTAAATAAATTGGAGGAACTTTCAGATTGCTGGAAATGTCAAATTCATTGCTCTCTCTCACAAATACCTCACATATCTTTTTTGAATTTAATTTTTGGCTGATGATTCTTTTAAGTCTGATTTTCTTCTTTTCCTTGCTCTCCATCTTAATAGCCAGCAACCCCAACACGCACAATAGCAGCAACCCCCATTCAGCCACTTCCACAGAGCCAGTCAACACCAAAGCGAATTGACACTCCCAGCTTGGAGGAGCCCAGTGACCTTGAGGAGCTTGAGCAGTTTGCCAAGACTTTCAAACAAAGACGGATCAAACTTGGATTCACTCAGGTGAGACTGAGTACCTTAGTGCTTGCCAGTGTGGAATCTGAGGTCTCATCTTTCAAGTCTGGAGGGAGACTACAATTCCACCTTTTCGTAGGAGAACCTTCTTAAATAGGGTTATGCTCTGGCCTTTATGTAGGGGATTTCTAAGAAATAACAGAAAAAGCCATGCATCCATCTTACTTCCCTGTTGGTTTTAAAGCGTAGCCATTTTCCCAGCAGGTACAGGCATTTACCAGCTCCAGATGTCATCGCATGTGCACTATTCATTCTATAGGATGTAAAATGAATGGGACAAAGCACTTTAAAGCTGCCTTCAGAAGTACAAAGTTCCAAAAATCATACTGCACAATTAACTGCTCTGTGTATTTAAAAAGTATGTCACAACCGTGGAGTTGCTTTGGATGTCAAAGGGTTTTTATCTTTCAGGCGTATTTTCCTATTAAACATCAATGATTTCTGTATTTAATGCTTTCGCTAAGGTTCCTAAACAAAACCTGAAAGGACTGTCACTTTGAAGTTCTCTCCTTACAGAGGAGAACTGGAATTGCGGTTTGTTTTGGTTTGCTTAAAAGCTCAGAAATACCCATAGAGCAGAAGAAAAGTAATCTTGAACATAGTGAAAATGGTTGAATGAGGAGTACAATTAAAGTACAAAGTGCATATATAGGTTCTGTTATTCTGTTAAAGAGAAATTCTGCTTAGATCCAGTAGTCCTTTCTTATTGATATCAAAGTGAATTTTTTTTCCCTGATAAATTAAAAATAGCTGTCCAGGTAAACAATTTTGGCAGGAGTCTGTGGTAAACATAGGCATGCTTTTGCTGGAAGAAATAGCATGCAACAATCAAAGTAGGTATTTAAAAGTCTTAGCTCAGAGCAGTCAGTCCAATATACGTGATTTGTTCCCCTACCCCACCCCCCCGGAATAAGTAAATCTACTCTCACTGAAAGCATGTGCTGAAGTCAGATTTATTTTTCTGGCAAAGTCCTAAATGTTTGAATAATCAGGGTTCATAATGAAGGTCCCTGGCAGCATCTTAATTATAACTCAAGAACAGAATGTTCTTAGTAAAATGAAGTGCATTTCGCTGGCATGTGTGCTTCCTTCCCTCCCTTCTTTCCACTAGAGGGAGGCACAGAAATGCAAGTGATGGACACACACAAAAGCTAGAATAGAGCAGAACAGAATAGAGTAAAATACAATAGCTTCCCTATAGCCTGACTGAGGAGGTTCATGTAGATCTTTAGTTATTATGTTTAATCTGCCCTGCATTGAGATGATCATAAAGGCTCAACTAGACTTTAAGTTATGAGTTAACCCTTCTTTATTGACTCTGTTGTGAATTTTCATGGTAAGGAAAAGTGAACACAACTGCTCAGGCTGGCATTTCAGTATTTGCTTTTGAGCTTAAAAGAAGGGGAATCTTGAGAAAGTGATAAAATTGCATTTGATCACTCCTATCCTACTCTGAGCTTGTATGCATATAATTAGGTCATTCTAATAACTTCTACTTAATTGCATAATTGGGTGATAATGAGAGACCCTTCTATTTTGGTTTCCTATAGTTGGATAAATAGACTGCCTTTCAGAGGATAAAAGAAATTTATTTCCAGTGGTACTGTAAGCTTTTTCAGACTCACGCCACCCTTGCCTTTCAAAAATAATTGTAAGATTTAGTTTGCATTGCAAACTAATCACTTACTGCATTCTGTCTTGTGAGCAATTTAACTGGTTTTGAACTTCAGCAGTTCTGTCTCTTCTCCCACCCTGAAAAGTGGGTGATGGATTTAAATCCTTCTGTTTAATGGTTTTCCTTAAAAGTACGTCCATGTTTGACATACAGAGACACAGTGAGCATACTGCGTCTTAGCATTATTGCAAGTGTGGGACTAATTGGTTGGTACAGATTCAAGCTATGGAGCAACATTTTAGAAAATGTTATTTTTGTGCTGTAAAAGGTATTACCTCTGCTAGTCCATCTGAGCTTCTTAACAGACTGGTACACACAACAGTGATGTGCCTTATAATCAGTTTCAGTTCAGTACCAGAGCTTCATTCAACCTACAAAGTAGATCAGATATGTACAGGTATGTACTTTATCCTGTGTTCCATCCATCCTTTCAGTAGCCCCTCCCAATATATAAAATTTTCATCCGAATATGTAAATTCTTTTGCCTACATACAGCTGAAATGCTGCCACCTTTTGGCACTGGAAACTATTGACAAAGAAATGTTTAACTGTTCATTTCAAATCAAATGGCAAATGTTAGTAAGAACAACATAAATACCAGAATTTAGTTGGAGGATTGGAGCAAATTTTATAACTCTTTCCTGCCAAGACATAAATCAACTTATCTGTAAAATGGTTTATGTAGACAGGTTTTCTTCTTCATAAACCCACTAGAGCTTCCCTGTTACTTCTGTTGCAATGATTTATGAGTTTTAAAATGCACGGAATCCTGGCATATAGGTAGAGGTCTAAATGTGAGTTCCTATGTTTCCTCTGATTGAAGGGTGTACAAACCAATTGTTCTGGTCCTCTTCTAGGATGGAAGTTGTTTTCTTTACACAACCTGCACAATTTACTAAGCTTACCAAAGGTTGTTTTCTTTCTTGCTTAGGTGTGGCACCTCTGCGTGCTGTTAGTATACTTACATCAAGCTGTGGTTGTGGATGTGACTAAAAGGAAAGAAACCAAGCTTTACGCACAATTCAACTAACCCACTTGCAATTAAACTCTGCTAACTATGCTCAAGCTTTTCAGTTTCTTCTTCTAGACTTTTCATACTTTTTTGTGTTAAAAATCTAAATTAAATTACTTTAGACCAAATAGCATACCTTAAAAAATAATTACTTTTTTCAAAGGGCTGGACCTTCCAGCTTTAAAACAAAAGAAAATATTATGGTGTTTTTAATGGCAACAATCAAGAATGGATTGATTTTTTTTTTTAAATGAGACTTTCCAAGTGTAAACTACATAGAGTTGTATATGTGTGTGTGTATATATATATATATATATTAGCTAAAGCTGAGTTTTGAAAAGCAGTAACAGATGTAAAGAGTTGATCATCTGTCTGTGAATCTCCTGGATAGCTTTTTGGCAGATGGGTAATGGTAGTGAGGACTACAGTTAATCATTATTTGAAATGGTTCAACTTCTTGTCTGCTTTGGAATGTGTATCTTTGGGGAGAAGTTTGGTTTGAACCTCAGCAGATACTAAAAGTTCAGATAAGAATATTTTTGCATCTATTTAAGCGTGATATATGCTTGCAGACATCTTTTCAAGAGTGTTTTGTACTACTTTGAGAAGATGAATTAACTGCATTTCTGCTTATTTGAAGTTTTCTTTTGTGAAATATGTAGATACTTAAATCTGCTCCTAAAGAGAGCTTGGCCTTATTTTAAAGAACTAAGAAAAAAATTACGAGTTAATATTCGTTGGAATGTTCTGCTCAGTGATAATGCTAAGAAGACAAGGAATCAGATTTCCTGGAAAGAGTTACCTGGTTAAACTAACTGAAGTTTGACATTTCTTTATAATTGTGTTCTTTAGCATGAATCTTGGTAGCGCTGAACAAGTTTCTGTGAAACTGAAATCCCAGGCAGCAGTGGAGTCACTAAGAGAACACAAGAATGTAACAGGAATCCTTGCTTTTGGAAGTGCCTACATTAGTGAATCCCTTTTTTCTCTTTCTTTGTCCAGGGTGATGTTGGGCTCGCTATGGGCAAACTCTATGGAAATGACTTCAGCCAAACTACCATCTCTCGCTTTGAAGCCTTGAACCTCAGCTTTAAGAACATGTGCAAGTTAAAGCCACTTCTGGAAAAGTGGCTCAATGATGCAGGTGAATGAGTCTGCATATTTCTTTACCAGTCTACCAAAATCACTAGGATTCTGAAAAACCCTGAAAAACTGCTTCGTTTGTGCCCTTATGGTTTTATGAAGCCACCAATCTTTGTAACTGTCCACGGGACAAATAAAGGTGTAGGAATAAGGGTCCATACTTCCCTTTTCATGTGCCTATACGCGTCCAAAATCGTTCCAATATGAACTTTGAGAATTGTGTTCTGCAGCCAGCTGAATAGTTGCATGGGGTGAGGTATAATGTGTGTCATGGTTTTCCTCCTTCGTGTATGTTAATCCATATAACTTCTAATCCTCTTCTAGCTTTCTTTTTCAGATGTATAGTAGAGAGAGGGTTGCATGGTCATTGTTTCTGTAGGCAGAGCTTATTGCATTCATCTCCTCCCAGACCCCTTTTTTTTTGTTCTTTTCATCTGTCTGCAAGGGTCTGTATAAACACTCTCTTTCTCCCCATAGGAAGAGTTTTTTGTGGGTTAGATTTTGCTTTTTCCTTCCAGAATAACTTTTCCTGGGATATAAGTTATTCATGATGCCAATGTTGGTAGTGTTCTTTTTTTTTATTTTTATTTTTATTTTTTTTTTTCTACCAGCAAAAGGAGCTTGGATGGTGGTGCTAGGTGTTAGGATAGAAAGTGTTTAAGAGTGTTGTCAGCCAGGTTTTTCTTCCAAGTATACAACTGTACATAATATAAAACTGATGGATGTGCTAAACAGATGGCAGGGACAGTGTGTGCCTTCCTATTTTTACCAAAATTGAGAGAGCTTTATGCTGGTGCCTGTGGTATTCTCTGAAATTTTGAAAGTAATTGGATGCAGTGTTGAAAATCTGTCCTGCATTGAAACAAGGAGGTGTCATTCTGTTGTGCTGACAGGGGTTATCTTTAGGTGATACAGATCCATGATAGAAAACATCAAAATCTTCACACTGAGTGCTCTAGTCCACAGGCCAGTGGTCACCAAACCTTCCAGCAACACTGGATAAGTCCAGTGCTGCAAGAAATATCATAGTTTGTTTTTCCTGCTAGCCTGAAGAAGTACTTGGATCTGTAAAGTTAAGGACTATAAGAAGTGTCAGAGTCCTTCACAGCCTGGAAGCTGGGAACCATTGTCTTTGGCTCTGATTCAGTTTCATGAAAAATCTCTGGAAGAAAGATTCAGGTGACTTTAAAGGCTACTTTTAGGTAAAAGTGGTCAGGAGAAGCATACTGATGATCCCTTCCATTACGCTACATTGTAGTGTTGGAGAATTTATTGCTGCAGAATTCAGCTTGTTCTGTGGGGTTTTCAGGATGGAGAGGGGTTTCGGCACGTTTATGGGTGCCGTTACTGAAAAAAAAAAAAAACTAGAAAATAATGAACGGAGTGTACTTGCCCCTTTGAGCCTAACAGAATGGTCTTAGGCATTGTGAACTTTGACACCTGCTTATCTCTCACAAACCCCAGTGCAGTGAGGGATCTCCAGCTGTAATTATTTTGTTTAAATTCCCTGCTGAAACCTGCCTGTTGAGTTATTTTGCAGTTTCTTCTATGAAGTGGAGTCAAGTGTGTTCTCTCCTTGCTCTTCTGTGGAGCCAAAAAGAGAGGATTAGGGGTCGACAGCTAGAGACCTAGTGAAGCTAAGGAAGGGGAGCCGCTAGCTGTGTAGGCTGTTCAGTAGAACTGCATAGCACTGAGTATCTGCTAAGATCTCCATAGAGAAGAGGTTGAACACTATGAAGCTGGCTATGAACTTCTTCTTCCTCCAGGGTATTGCAGAGCAGGTAAAAGAAATTTTAGGCTGCTCAGATTTTTTCATAATTGCCTGTGACTTACAGCTGCAGCTCTTGGATATCAGTTACTGCTTTTTTTTCTTTAAACCATGTCTTGCAGTGACCGAGTGAGGGGTGGAATGAGATAAGGGAGACAGACTTTGCATAGGTATTGTAGAAGAGACACTGTGGTCACATACAGGAGCAGAGAGTGCCCTCTGGGCTTACTTGCAGCTTGTAAGTTTCAAGTATATGTGTAATTTACAACAATTAACGCATATGATCTTCAGAAATCTCTATATATCTGGAATAGAGTGGGTTTTAACATACCTCGCACAGGTGAAGAACACTTGCATTAGACTGCACTGCATGCAAATAAAATCTCCTGATTTATGTTACTTTCTTTTTTCAGAAAACCTCTCATCTGATTCAACTCTCTCCAGCCCAAGTGCCCTGAATTCTCCAGGGCTGGGGAATGAAGGCTTGAACCGTAGGAGGAAGAAACGCACCAGCATAGAGACCAACATACGTGTGGCCTTAGAGAAGAGTTTCCTGGAGGTCAGTGATCCTGTTCTCTGCTCAGCCTATAAGGAAATGAAGAAACTTTGCTTAACAGTTGTTATCCAGTGAACCCATTACTGTGCTATTTAGGAGAGTGCTTGTACTAAACAAGGTGATTACAAAGGCTGTGCCAAGAAGCATGAATCAACATCCACTTCGCTTAAAAAAAAAAAAACAAAACACAACTGCCTCAAAAAAACTCACTGCTTCTTGCAGTTCACTGACTTTGTGATTTTGCATTCCAAGATACTGAGCCATAGATCTAAGCTTGATAATTCTGCACATGAAAAAGAAGAAAAACAGATTACCCTTTCTGAGGATAGATACATGGGGTGACAGTCTAAACATACATAATGTGTTTTTTAGCTGGCCTTGTTACTCTTGTTAGGCATTTTGTGCAGCTGTATAGGCAGATAGCCTCTTCAAGTCGCCCATTCAATCTACTTGTCTTTCATTATAGGTCTAGACAACTTGGGGTTCATTTGGCTATTGCTATAGTTAATGTCTCCTATTCCTTTTCAAGAGGTGCTGAAAGAAAGATTTCCTTATCAAGGTCTAGAATTCCCTGAAGGATTAACTCATAAGTCAGATCTCTCAAAAATAAGCATGTGAGCTTAGTCTTCATTACCCATCATTACACAGCTTACTATTGGTAGAAATGTTCCTGTAGCTAGGAATATGGAGGGCAGAAGTATCTATCATGGTCTATCTCTACTGTATCCAGATTCTGGATATAAATGGCCCATCCAGATTTCTGCCTAGTGAAGAAGAAGCTATAATGTAAAACTTCTGAAGGTAATTTCATAGCTTTTCAAGTATTGTTTCCTTTTCTCAGAACCAAAAGCCTACCTCGGATGAGATCACCATGATAGCTGACCAGCTAAACATGGAGAAGGAGGTGATCCGTGTTTGGTTCTGTAACCGGCGCCAGAAGGAGAAAAGGATCAACCCACCCAGCAGTGGTGGAACCAGCAGCTCGCCCATCAAAGCAATTTTCCCTTGCCCAACCTCACTGGTAAGAATCAAGAAACTCTGTTAACAAAGGTCACTGGAAGAGATAGTTCTATTGTGCTCACTGTGGAAGTTGCACATGCTACACGTTCTTTGTACAGCAGACTTGTTCTCCCAAAGTTATATTTTACTGGCATTTTAAATATCCTGTTTGCATACTATATAAGAGTGAGAACGCTTACCAATCAGGCACTACTTGGGCCTTCAGTTTGGGTGTTTCATTTAGTGAGCTTGTGAGTAAATATTCCGACTAGCAAGTTTGCAGTTGGGGTTATTGGCTTTGAACATATTCCAGATAGTAACTGTGGTTCCCATCTGGACTTTCTCTCTTACCAAAACTCGTTTTTGTAAAATAATAGTAGTAAAAAAATACTTAACAGCTCTACCCCTCCCCTCTTATTCTGGCTGCTCTGATAAGTAGATGAGCAGCAGTAAAATGTATCATTTGGAGTCACACAAATCCAATGATACCATTGTTGTCACTTTTAGTCAGGAATTATGTATATACAAAAAGACATGGGACAAAGGAACAATTTAGCTAATACTCATGTAATTAATTTCCCACACTTGTATTTGCCTCAGGTAAACACAAACTTCATGAAAATAAGAGTAACAAAACACATGCATCAAGGTTCCTTCAGCTCCTTTGCTACCAATGTCCATGGAGGTCTGTTTTTATAAATAGAAACAGTAGCTATTAGATTTCATAGTAGCTATGCTAATAGGAATGTGGTGGAATTTATGTAGCCTGTAGCTGTCCTTTTGTAGTATTTATTCCAACCTCATCACTGTAGTAGCTAATATTCTCCAGTACTTCATTAAACCATTAATTTTGGTGACATGTCATTCTTTCCCCTCATCCTTGTCTCAGGATGTGTGCATGCAACCTTTAGTTTCAGGGGAAGGGATGTGTTAAATGTACTTAGTCTTTTGTTTTTGGTTTGTTTTTTTCCCAATTGGAAAGCAAGGTTGCATGCCTTGCTACCAAAGCAGAACATAGTGAGATTTATGGTAGTGTGTTTTAGTAACCGTGCAAGTTTACTCAGACTGCAACTTAAGAAAGCTTTCCTAAATAAATTTCCCTTTTATTATAAACTTCCATTGTATGTAAGAAATTAAGGTGTTAACCACAGTCTCCATTCTTTCAGTGATGTTTTACTAAGCATTTTCACTCATTGTAAGCTTCTCTTAAGACTCTGCTACCACTCATGTGGATGTTCCAGCCCTCCTGCCCCCAGCCTTCACTGGCTATGTGCTTTGTTGGTTCCTCGTGTCAGCTCCGGAGATTATGTGTCCATAGGATGATTGGCCTTAGTTTACTAGTTTGACTGCAAATAATCATGTGAAGAACAATGATGAATTTTCCATATGGCTAAATAACCAATCTGACTTGTAGCCTGGCTGCACAAGCACTAGGGCTCTGAAGCAGGATTGGAGGGGAATGCTCCTTTTGATGGCAGCCTGCTTTTGCGTTGGCTGAAGTCAGTCATTGTAACCACAGGGTTAGCTGTATCAATTCTAGGTCATTCCCTGCCCTGAAATATGGATTGTGACCTTGGTCTTAACTGTTTGGTGGACAGGTGACAGATACGATGACTGGGCTGCATTAGTGGGAAGTGTACTATGTATCTAGCTCTTCTTTATTGTGTACACTATTAGAGATGGGCAGAAAGAGTTTAGATTTGTCCCAGTTGCCCCATCTTGTTTAAAATGCATGAAACATTTGACTTCCTATAAGAGGATTTGCAGCACGAGAGAGATTTCTCTGACAATAAACTTAAGGTAAGAGAGGGGAAAGGAGGAAGGTTTTAGCCTATATCCTTGGCTATGTTTTGTTGGGCAATTCTAAAGGATTAATTTCTCTCATTGATGTATAACAGCCTTCAAATATTACTGTTGGACACCATTTCTTGTCCACAAAAAGTCCTTTCTCTCTTTATATTTCATTTTGCCTCATAAGCAAGTTCCTCCAGCCTTAAATCTTGGGTGTTTTCTATCTGTAATGTCTTCAGTTTATTGTAGCTTTCTTGTAATAAGCTGTCCACAAGTAAAATTAGCTAATGTGATTTGAATGTTGTAAAATTTAGAGATCCTTCTCTGGCACAAGGAAATTTATCAAAGTAGAGCTTATAGTTTGGTTGAGTAAAAGTAAAATGTTACTCTGTTTATCCATGTAAACACATTACCCCAAATACCTTTGGTAATGCTGGGGTATTTAAATAATTGTATCAGAGAAAGAGATTTGGAGCTGAAAAGATGTTTAGACAAGAAAAAAATAAACATGCAGAAGTAACATTTTGTAACTCATTCTATAAGAGTAACTATTAAAACAAGGTGCTCTCTTTTGGGGAGGCATAGAGGGAGGGCTAACTTGCAGTCCTGAGACAGTATGGATGTAATAGATGTAGCTCCCTTCAAATACTGAATGATTAAGAATAAAGATGTTGGTGGTAAGAGAAAGTATTATAGTTGGTCCACTGAATGATTAGTAATGGAATTACAAAAAAGTAAGTTTATATGCAGTGTTATCCCTGATGCCTTCCTCAGCTGAGGATGGGAAGAAAGAAATCCAAGTTTAGTAGATAACTCTTTTTATCTTGACAGTTGAGCAGTTGTATTCTTTTTTGACCTCCAGGTGGCAACCACACCAAGCCTTGTGACTAGCAGTGCAGCTACAACCCTGACTGTCAATCCTGTGCTCCCTCTGACCAGTCCTGCTGTTACTAGTCTGTCAGTCACAGGTAAGGGCTGATTTCCCTTTCCCCCACAAAAACCTCAACCATTTTCCCATTTTAAACTCTTCAAAAAATCATTCAGTATTGGTCACTCGTATCCCAGGACATTCTTGTCATTGTTACTCCACTAGGAAACTTCAGTCTCTCTGACCATTCAGTTGACTTTTTTGGGGATAAAATCACAGGTGATGCTGGAATGAAATATGCTGTATTCCATTGATAGCTTCTAGAGCTCCTCAGCCTCCTGTTTGGGAGTGTCATTTCATTGTAGTCTGAGGTTCTCATTTGGACTCTTGGTGCTTCTTGGTCCTACAGAAATGTGTGTTTGTCTCCCTTTCAGTTGGATGTGCAGTTCATTTTAGGTGGGTAGTGGTTTCTGTTCAGTAATATTTGTGTTTTGTACTGATCTAACCAGAATCAATCTTCTAGGCACAACAGAAACCACCTCCAACAATACGGCAACAGTGATTTCAACAGCACCTCCAGCTTCTTCAGCAGTGACATCACCCTCCCCAAGTCCTTCCCCTTCTGCCTCAGCCTCCACTTCAGAGGCATCCAGTGCCAGTGAGACCAGCACAACACAGACAACCTCCACTCCCTTGTCCTCTCCTCTTGGGACCAGCCAGGTGATGGTAACGGCATCAGGGTTGCAAACAGCGGCAGCAGCCGCATTACAAGGAGCTTCACAGTTGCCTGCAAATGCAAGTCTTGCTGCCATGGCTGCTGCAGCAGGACTGAACCCAGGCTTGATGGCATCCTCGCAGTTTGCAGCTGGGTAAGGATTAATTTTTCACACCCTTTTAGGTGAGATGACAGGAGAGGGAAGAATTCTTGGGATAAATTGCTTTTATGTATTGCTATTATCTGGGAGTTTACTTGGTGATTTCAGTGTCATTTATCCCAAATTCTGAAGGTTTACTTAGAGATGGTAATTGGCCATTCCCATCAATGTACACAAATATTGTTTTCATTTTACAGATGAAAAAGCTGTGTTGCAGCAATGCTGTTATTTGATAAGTCATCCATCCCGCTGAAGAGCTTGGCTTAAGAGATACAACTTACCCCTGAATCATAGAATCTGTTCTACTCATTGTAAAATGGAGAGTTAGCTTAGACCCACTTCACACCTCTGTATTCATTTCTCTGTCATAAGCAAGAAGCTGTAAAAGATGCATGATGATGTATTGTTAAAGTTTTAGTTTTAAAAATCTTGCTCTGAGAGATGACACTTTGTTTCTTCAATTCCTCTTGATTTACATGTTTTGTATCTGATTTTGGGAGATGATGACAGCTGTCTAACAGATGGCGGTTTTCCCAAAATATTTTACAAGAATATTTTACAGCAACACTCAGTACAAGTCATGTATTTACAGTGCCTGTACTTTGGGCGTGTCACTAACCAGACATCTGAAAGGCAACATCTACTCAAGACATTCTGAAGGAAAAACTAAAATAAACTAAAGTTATCCCTTAATCTCTGGTCTTTTCTCCTTTCTGTTCCCCCCCCCCCCCCCCTCTTTTTTTTTTTTTTTTTTTTTTTTTTACAATGTAATGGTGTACTTCTGAGCAGTGACAACCTTTTCTTAAAAGTAACACTTCTTCCCTTTGTCTTTGTTTCTTCTTCTACAATCTTGCTTCTTGCAGAGGTGCCTTACTCAGTCTCAATCCAGGGACATTAGGTGGTGCTCTCAGCCCGGCCCTGATGAGCAACAGTACACTGGCAACTATTCAAGGTCAGTAGTGTTCGTTTTAATGCATCGCTGTCATACAACTTCACTTTATGTACTTTGTTTTTCTCTGCCAAAAAAGAACACTGACTCCTCAGCACTGAACATAAATGTTATAGGACTAAAGTTTTTACAAAATTTAAATGCACAAATACACTTTATGTATCACAGAGATAAAAGCAGGTACAACTTCATAAAGAGGATTAGAACTGTGTATGATCTTGTAGAGATTTACAGAAGGCATTTAAGATATTGAATGTGATCTGGAAATTTTTTTTGTTATCCTGCCTCTGTTGGCATATATCTCCAGCAGGTTAGAAATTTGCTTTTTATAGCTCTTCCAGCATAAGCTTGAGCAAAGTTGTGCTGTTTTGAGGTGTGTTAGGAGGGCAGTTCCAAGCAAAACTTGATCCTGAATTCTTGTCCTCATATGTATTTAGAAAGAACCCACAACAACCAACTTACCTCCTTATGTAGAACTTTAAATCCATAATTCCTTATTCAGAGGAGTAAAAGATGTATTTTGGGAAGTGCCACACAGACAGACGTTTCCACTGACTTTAGCTAGAGTTGTTCTGAGTTCATAGTGTGTCATCTGTAAAAATTAGATCACGCAAGTGCCTAAAGAACTAGCTAACCTATGTATTCAAATATCCTCGAAATAGCTTAACAGATCTTGTTTCCAGGGTACAGGAAAGAACTATTTCATAAAGTGTCACAGATACAATCTAAGGCAGACTGAACCCTGTAGACCAGTGAGAGCAAGTTTTAACAGTGGTTGTATGTCAACATTTAAAATGTTATGCTCAAGGTTACATGACCTTCTTCATCTTGTGATAGCTGTCATTTCATGTGAACACTCATCTCAACCCTTTTCCAGTACAGATTGCCTGAATGTACAGGTTTTCTGTGCTAGGAAACAGAGCAGTATTGCACTTCAAGATCTGAAGAAAAGCATGATAGAATTAGTTTAGGACCAGATAACAGAAGCATTTTAGTATCTGCAAGGTCTTGTCCAATCTTCATAAAAAGTAATTTTTTTAAAAAAGCAACATATGATGAGTGTAATTAGTGGTGCAGACAGCACGCGTATCAGAGAAAGGAAAATGCAGAGACCAGTTGCTTCTAGGCACATTTTGCGTTGTTGCTTAGTGCTAACATTATCTCCTCCCTGCTCAATTTTCCCTTTTTTAGCTCTTGCATCTGGTGGCTCTCTTCCAATAACATCACTGGATGCAACTGGAAACTTGGTGTTTGCCAATGCTGGAGGTACTCCTAACATCGTAACTGCCCCTCTGTTCCTGAACCCCCAGAACCTTTCTCTGCTCACCAGCAACCCGGTTAGCTTGGTCTCTGCAGCTGCAGCCTCCGCAGGGGCCTCTGGACCAGTTGCCAGCCTTCACGCCACCTCCACCTCAGCTGAGTCCATCCAGAACTCTCTCCTCACGGTGGCCTCTGCAAGCGGGGCCACGTCCACCACCACTACTGCCTCCAAGGCACAGTGAGCCGGGCTGAGCTGTGCTGCCAGCAGCCTGTTTCACTGTGCGGTGGGATTGGCTGCCAGCGGGGTTTATAAACTGCAAATGTGATGGGCATCCTCTCGCCGTGTTGCTGGGGACAAGGGAGAGAAAGAAAAATATTAAAAAAAAAAAAAGCAAAAGCAAAACAGGAAGGATTTAAAGCTGGGACAGACATTTGCCTAATTTTATAATAAACACTGTCTTTTCAGGATCGCTTCATGGATCGGAGAACTTTCTAACCAAAAATGTAAAAAAAACAAAAAACAAAAAAACAAAAAAACCACAAAAAAAGTGAAAGGACTACTTATCATTTCCAGCAGTCACAATGACAAGTTAAGGTGGGTTATCAAGTCAAACATAGGAAGGGGATTCCTTGTTTCTTTTTTGGTCTAAATATCTTTCTTTTTTAATTATCATGTTATCGGTCTGTTGTACAGGCCAATATGTCATACAAGGTGTTTATAATCGTATCAATCGTGTTGGGGGTTCCTTTCTTAACTGGTACAATTTAGGCAGGCCTGTATTACTGGTGTATCTCTATTATTATTATTATGATTATTATTATTA